TTTACAACTAGGTAATATTTATTAACAATTATGTAGATTTTTTTATTATATATTATGATCGAGTAATTTGTATTTCGATGTTATTAAAAATAATTTTAGTTAATATTTTATAAAAAAATAGTCGTTTTTTAAATAAATTTTGATAAAAAAAAAATACATTTTAAAATTGTGGATTATAATTATTGTATTTAAATCTTTTAGATATTTGTTTTTATTATTATTTAAAAAAATATATAATTTGACTAAATATTATAAAGTAGTGTTGGGAGAAAAATATTTGACAAATCATTTTAAGATTTCTTACTTGGATATTACTACATATTATTTAATTTTTAAATTAATTAATATGTAGTAATTATGAAGGGGTCACATATTATATGAGGAGATTTAAAAATGTCAACGCCAATGATTATGTTTAATACCTGCTACATTAATCATTAAATTTTTTCGGGATTAGTGACGTAACTACAGAATTAGCAGACTGTTAATTAAAACAATAGAGCGATGGAGTTGCTTAATTACCAGCATCAACAATGACGGATAACTTGGGAGCCGCGTCGCAAACTCTTCTCGCCGTTGACGCCATTTCCGGCGGCCTAATTTCGTGAAATTCGAATTAATATAATTTAGTTTTTTTATAAATAAAAAAAAAAAACTGAAAAAACAGAGGCAGATTTAAATTTGAATTTGATAAAATTAGGTGAAACGCACGTAAGGAAGCCGAAATCAGGTTTGCCGAGGAGAGAGGCGGAGACGGCATAGCCGGAGCAGAAGCTAGCGCCGAATCCAGCACGCTCGATCAAAGTAGCAGAGAGTGCATCGTAGCAGCCAGGCATGAGAACACAGCCTTTGTCCTCGATGAGACGGTGGATGCGAGTGTGCATTCCCGCGGTTTGATTGAAGTGGCGGAGAGTTGATAGAGCCCTGGTGGACTTGCGGAGAGCAGCTCCGGTGGCCATTTTTATGAACCGACACGTCGAGGAAGAAGGAAGAAGGAAGAAGGGAATTGTTGGTGGGTGGCAGGAGATGAAGAAGAAGAGGAGACCTCGTGGGGTATTTAAAACGGTTGGATGGTCGGTACTTACGCGCCATTAGGCACGTGCAGAAGGTGTTTTTGAATCAGTATCTACGGTGGAGACCACACAATAATTTCACGTGGGCCATCCTTGAATCTTGATCAAGGCTTAAAATTTATAAAATTATTTTTAAATTAAAAATCTAAAAAAAATGGTGGTTGAGCTTCTTCATTCTTAAATACAAGTCACTCTATCAATTAATTACAACTTAAATATATACATACACCCACACATACATATACATATATATATATCGCAATATGTATATATATATATATATAATAGGACATACATAATTTTTCCGTAACCCAATTATATATTAAAACTATGTTTAGTACATTGGGTAAATTTTATTTATCATGTTATATTAAAAGTTTCCTCTTAATTATATATATATATATATATATGTATTTTAAATTACTTGTTACTTAAAAACTATAACACGGAAAAGATGTTCACTTTTCACTTTTA